CCAATGGAACAACAGTCCATGTCGGCATCCACCCCAGCAAGGTGAGACGTAATTGAATAGATACTGAGTTTGTGTGAGTAGACTTGTTCCGTGGTATAGTCACACATGGCGCTTACTGGCTTCATATCTGTTTGGTTTGTTTGTGTCAGGAAGATGTAGTCTTGAGCTTTTCATGTCACAAGCTCTTAAGCTGATCAACACAAATTCAATGTGGAGGGTAGCTATATAAGTATTTCTTGGGTATTTTGGGGTTCTTAGTGTTTTTTATCTATTGTAATTTTGAAAGTTGAGGTATTTTAGCTCTTGATGTTTGTTTCTTTTCCTAACAGCTGGCTCAGAGCCCTGTTCCAAGAAGCATGTTCAACAAATAAAGGTTATATATAAACTTTGAGTTTAAGTCTAAGATCTGCAACTCTTAAGCTGTGTCCACACTGAAAACAATTGTCGTGTTGTGCCTTTTAGCCGTATTCTTCATTCTGTGGTAGTCTTTTCAGTCACTGGTCTGAAAGTGTGAGGGGTCCCACCTACTTCACATTGATAACAGTTACTTCACTCATAGTCGACAAATATCATTCACTTTTTGTTGTCTGCTTACCAGATTGCTTTGAACTGCTAAAGATTTTGGTTCCAGAACAGCTGATCAGAATATCTTCATTGAACTTTAGTGTTCACCTTGAGTTAAGCACATGCATGAGTAGAAAAAATGTAAAGGAAGCCATCAGTGGAGCTTTGACACCCAGAATCATAGGATCATGGGATTCCAGCATTTTCCTCATGTCTGGATTAACAAACCGAGGGATGTTTGCTAAATCTGCTTCCATGAGTAGGGCCCCAGTCACTACAGTTGTAAACTTCAATAGCATTCAGGTGCTTGACTCTCTCATCTTGCAGTCGGACAGACTACTTGACTAGTTGTGGTTGTGTGGGACGGTAGTAGCCAAAGGCGGTGTGTGTTGTGATCTGGAGATTGTAAACTGGTGTTATGGTTGATGTCGTTGGCATACTCTCTGCACATGTATGCAGAGAGCAAAGTAAAGTGCAGTCAAATTCCTTACTTGTTTAGCACAAACCAAATAAGGGTGACTCTGATGTATCTGATTCTGCTCATTTCACTTCAACGCCACCTTAGACCCATTTAAATCTGGATACTGGGTGTTGTCCAGTCGCTGTAGTCTGCTGCTAAATTGATACATTTTCAAGACTCAATCACTGCATTAGTGCTGGTAAAGAAGAATTCAAAACAAGTGAACATTTTTATTATGAAGAATTTTTCAACTGCTGCGGTAGTATCCCGCTGTGCTATTGGGAAATCCCTATGTTCCTGAAGTTAATTTATCAAGGGACCAACTCACTCCCACTTGTCTCCCGTGAGGCTGCAGTGTTTTCAAAAAGAAAAGGAAACTTTACATCGAGCCCAAATGACACCAAAACTCACTATGCACCAGCCACTCATTAAGGACTTCTTTTGTGGACAGTCTAGGATTACTAGATATAAGAAGATGCCATATCTAAGCCAGACTTCAGGTTTCTATATTACACGTGTGTAAAGCTGCCTGTTGGGCTAAGATTTGCTTCTAACTAATTATGTCTTAATCCTGCTCCTGGGTGCACACCCTAAACTCTGATTACAGGTAGACTTGAGAGAAATTTCACTTGGTATTTGACACAGTGTTTCATCATACTCTGACACTTGGTGTTTTGAGCACTGAAATTGAAAAATCAAAGTGACCAAATAACATTTTGTGAAGTGCAGTTGCTCTGGTTTAGCTGGATTATAGATTTTTTCTTTTTTTTTAAATTTGCTGATGCTGTTCGGTTTTAAATTGCAGTGTAATGCATTAAACTACCACAGAACCTCTTTCTGTCAGTTCTGTAAATCTGTAAACACTGGTGGATAGCTGAAGCAAGTACAGAGCTAATGGGAGAGCATGTGACATCTTAGATGTGGAACATTGGTAATTTAAGAAGAATTATATTTGAATTTCAGCATGTCCCTTTTGATTCAATTTTTTTTTTTTTTTTTTTAATATAAACGTAAACTGGAAAAGCAAGATTTCCTTGTAGAGTAAAAAAAAAATCCTTGGTTACAAAAACAGTGGGAAATGTTTCAATTATTAAGCAATGTCTTTTTGTTAAATTTTATTAAAGAGATTTGAAGGTAATTTCAGACATATTGCTGATGTATCCATGAGAGAATACATGTTTGTTTACCAAGGTGTTTTTGTGTCTGCAGGTGGTCATCACCAGGCTAAAGCTGGACAAAGACCGCAAGAAGATCCTGGAGCGCAAGGCCAAGTCTCGTGCTGATGGAAAGGAGAAGGGCAAATACAAGGAGGAGACCATTGAGAAGATGCAGGAGTGAAAATGATCTTTTGCTATCAATAAACTCTGTAAATGGACCTCATGTTGTCTGTCATATTTTCGTTGTAACGCCCTAAACTCGGGAATGTTTTTTAATGTTTTATTTTAAACATGCTTGTCTTTTTTATGGAAATTAACACTTGGGTATACTGTATGCCTTCAAAGTCATGTTCAAATCTCTAAACAGCACACTGTATTACAAGGAATTTAATGAATTGGCCAGTGCTGCTGCTTAATTAATTAAAAACAAGCTGTGGCCAAAATTGCATAGGTTTATTGTTTAAAAATGTTAAAAGTGAACTACACAAAGAAATGTTCTTTAATTGCACAATTAACTGCAAATATGAGTGTAGTTTTGTTACAGGCAAGGAAATTCATGTGACTGACTACACACCACCTCAGCTTCTATGTTAATTGATTTCACTATGAAATGATGAGGTGAAAATCCAAAATACTGTGCAAGAAACAAAAAAATATTTCAAAGCATTTAAGCAGAAATATGGAAACCCAGCATTTGCTCTAACAGATCCAGATTAATATACTTTATGGATCCTCCAAAGGAAATTACTTTTAAGGCACCAGGATAAAGGATAAAAATGAAATCTTATATCCTGACAGGTGTGTTCACCTGTCACAGAAGAAGAGAACAGTAGGAAACCATTTTGGTTTTAAACGAGCTGATGAATGAGCTCTGCAGAGAGGACTGTGGTGACCGTGATGGGTTGTCCATGGTGGACAGCAGGTAATTCAGTGACCTCTTGCTCCTCACTGAATGCCTCTGGGTCCCTGCTGCCATCTCTGACAGTGTTTGAGAGGGAAGAAGAAAAAAATAGATTTTGCAAGAAATTTTACATTAAATTTAGCGAAACTAAAACATCATAGGAGGAGAGGCTAACAATTGAATGAAAAAAAGATATACAGGTGAAACTCGAAAAAATTTGAATATCGTGTAAAAGTTCATTTATTTCAGTAATTCTACTGAAAAAGTGAAACATATAATAAAAACTCATTACATGCAAAGTGAGATAATTCAAGCCTTTATTTGTTAAAATTTTGTTGATTGTGGCTAACAGCTTGTGAAAACCCCAAATTCAAAAGCTCAGAAAATTTGAATATTGTGAAAAGGTCCAGTTGTAGGCTCAAAGTGTCCCACTCTGATTAGCTAATTAATCCAAAACATCTCCAAAGAGTTCTTGAGCTTTTAAATGGTTTCACAGTCTGGTTCAGTAGGAATCACAATTATGGGGAAGACTGCTGATCTGACAGTTGCGCAGAAAACCATAATTGACACTCTCCATAAGGAGGGAAAGCCTCAAAAGATAAGTGCAAAAGAAGTTGGATGTTCCCAAAGTTCTGTATCAATGCACATTAATAAAAAGTTATGTGGAAGGGAATGGTTTGGAAGAAAAAGGTGCACAAGCAGCAGGGATGACCAGAGCCTGGAGAGCATTGTCAGGGAAAGGTCATTCAAAAGTGTGGGGGACCTTCACAAGGAGTGGACTGAGGCTGGAGTTGGTGCATCAAGAGCCACCACAGACAGACGGATCCTGGATTTGGGCTTCAAATGTCATATGCCTCTTGTCAAGCCGCTCTTGAACAATAATGTCAGAAGTGTCTCACCTTGGCTAAAGAAAAAAAGAACTTGTCTGTTGCTCAGTGGTCCAAAGTCCTCTTTTGTAATGAGAGAAAATTTTGCATCTCATTTGGAAACCAAGGTCCCAGAGTCTGGAGGGAGAATGGAGAGACACACAATCCAGGATGCTTGAAGTCCAGTGTTAAGTTTCCACAGTCTGTGTTAATTTGGGGAGGCATGCAGGTGTTGGTCCACTGTGCTTTATTAAGTCCAGAGTCAAGGCAGCTGTTGAAGCTGAAGCTGACTTCATTTTCCAGCAGGACTTGGCACCTGCCCACACCTACAAACGTACTAAAACCTGGTTCAATAGATTCTCTATGGGGCATTGCCAAGATAAAGATGAGAGTCGTGAGACCGAACAATGCAGAACAGCTGAAGGCTGCTATTGAAGCATCCTAGTCTTCCATAACACCTCAGCTGATAGCATCCATGCCACGCTGCATTGATGCAGTAATTCATGCAAAAGGGCCCAAACCAAGTACTGAGTACATATGCATGATTATACTTTTCAGAGGTCTGACATTTCTCTATTTAAAATCCTTATTTTATTGGTTTCATGCAATATTCAAATTTTCTGAGCTTTTGAATTTAGGTTTTTCATAATCTGTAAGCCACGATCAACAAAATTGTAATAAATAAAGGCTTGAAATATCTAAAAGGTGAACCTATATTAGTTTCACCTTTTAAGTAGAATTGCTGAAATAAATGAACTTGTGCACGATATTCTATTTTTTTTTTCGAGTTTCACCTGTATAACAATGTGTAATATTCATATACTATTTTTCACGTTAATGAGAGAAATGTAGTAGAAATAAACATAAATATGGCACAGTTTGTCTTCCAGTTTGTCCGCTTCATTTTGTGCATATGGAATATAACCACAAATAAAAGTTGGGTTAAAACGCAAATACTTTTCGCCATTTATTTAATTTAAGAATTAATGAAAACGTTTCACAACACAAGCACTTTGAAATTTGCAGTGCAGTCCCTCCACTTCCTCTTTCTCTGGTTCACAGTCATGTGATACGTGTTGCCTTCTGCGTGTCGTCGTCGGCTGGGCAGCATACATTTAGTTGAAAGTTTATACCTCTGAAGTCTTGTGTTTTTAGACTAAACTCACAATGGCAATAACTTCGTTTGCGATCGCGATTTCCGTGATGACTGTGTTCTGGGGTATTGTTGGAGGAATTGTGCCTTGGTTTATCCCCAAAGGACCAAACAGAGGGTAAGTTGGTTAGCTTAGCTCTGGCTGGCTATAAGGAGTTTACGGAAGGTTTTTATGTCAACGTTGTATTATTTTCTTAGTTTTTATACAAACAGGTGAAGTGTGCGTGAGCTAAATTTACTGTTGGCGTTTTGTAAAGCTGTTTATTACACTTACATATCACCTTTAAACCCTGTTAGCTACTCTAGTTACTAAAACTTAAGAGTTAGCTAACTAAAGCTAATTTTACTCTGGCTTCGTGCTAAAGTTCCTCACACCCCTTGGCAGTGAATCCTGCTCTTGTATTTCAGTACATAATACGACCATTAATGTATTCTATTTTTGGAAAAAAAAATGCCAAAGTCAGTACAACTTCCTTTATTTGTCTGATTTTCAGTTGCATCACGAGATCCAGCTCGTGAATGTGGATGAATGGCTTGATGTGTTTTAAATCCAAAAACTCGCAGACATTAAATATTAGATGTGCTGTTTATATATTTAAAATGTATATTATTTCCCCACAGTGTGATAGTGACGATGCTGGTGCTAACTGCAGTCTGCTGTTACCTTTTGTAAGTATTCACCATCCGGATTCCTTTTTTTTTTTTTTTCCTTTTTCCACAGACAGGCACACACACACAGTGGTACTATATATATCTAAAAACAATAGAGGAAGCCTGCAATGAATCAGGCCTATAATATAAATGGCTGAAGTGAGCAGTCAGTTAAATATAAGAGAACTATCTTCTTGATAGGTGATTAATGCATTTGGATAATTACAAATTGGTCCACTTCTATTGCTCCAAGTTAATTGATGCATGTTGCTTGAAAATAAAGCAGACTATGCGTATCTTATTTAAGTCATAAATTATTTACATTCACAGTTTTGAATGCATCTGGTGTTTTGTTGCATGCTGGCAGACAAAAGGGGGCAGTATAGTCACAGTAGTGTTGCAGCCATGTGAGGTTAATCTCCCAAATGCCCCCCAAGCTTGATGCTGTTATAATAAACCCAGGAGCTGGTTGCAGTGTTGTGACAAACTGTGGTGTTCATTCAAGATGACATTTTTATTAGAGAATATGATGTGAGTGTTTTGTTTGTGATCTTGATGGTGTCCTCTCTGTTCACCCAGCTGGTTGATAGCCATTCTGGCCCAGTTGAACCCGCTGTTTGGGCCTAGCCTGTCCACTGATGTTATTTGGTACCTGCGCTATCACTGGCCTTAATTTGCCTTTCTGGGGCTCCCAACCCTTAAGGTAAGCTTAAGACTATACCTACATGCTACTTTTACGTAATATATTAATACTTGGATGCCTCCCGTCTAATGTTGTGTTATTATTCTCTCAGCAGCAGGATGACCTTGCAGTGCTGCACACCAGTGGATGTTTGCCATTGCAGAGATCAGTTGTCCCCAATTGCCTTAAAACTCTGAACCCTGTATGATTATTGAGTGGCACCAGTGCCTTGTGTATATAATGACTCCCAAAGGGCTGTGAGATCTGTGTGGATGTGCTGTGACTTAAATTAAAGTAACATTTCCTTGTTGCAGTTTTGTTTATATATTATGTACATTGTGTTCAACAATATTGTTAGCATGGATAGCAGTTGTTGTGTGAGTGTGTGTGTGTGTATGTGTGAAGTTTGTGTCAGCTGGTTCATCAGATAATTAATAAATTAATAAACAAATCATTCATCCATAATTGTTTGTAATTATATATATTTTTTCAAATATAAAAGTGTTCCTTTCTACATAATTATGTTGAAAGTCATTTACACATTAAACACATTTGTCACTAAAATATTTTCATAGGGCATAGAAAATGCTGTTGTTTTTTTGTAGTTTATCTGAAAAAAATGACCCCATAAAACATTTTTCATGCAGTCATTATTGATAACGACGTTTTTTGCGTAACAAAACACGTCAAACAGCGACGTTGACGTACGGACTTCAAATTGGCCTCTTTGCTTTCCGTAGCTCCAGCCGGCTACGTTGGCAACATGGCGTCGTCAGATGTCCACGTCCGAATATGCGAACAAGAAATACTCAAATATGACTTGGAAATTAAAGCTCTCATCCAGGTGCGAATATTTCTTTGGTAAGACTGCTTAGTGCTGCGACGGGACACGTTATTTTTTGAGCGTGTCACATAGCGGAGTTGTATTAACTTGGCCTGATTTTATGAGGTGTAGCGACCGTCTCCGAAAGCCTGCACCGGAACATTTTCTATCAAAGTTACAAAGAGGCTGTAAAAAAAGAATATTTTCAGCCAAGATTTTATGAACAAGATGTTGTAATAATAATGTAGATAACCAGCCGGTGTTGTGTTGGGCTAACTAGTGATTTCCGGTATATACCTAATGAGAATCCTCCCAAAACAGGTCACTTCTTTATTTTAACCCCTTCATAAATCCCGTTGACTGCAGCCCGTTTACATTATAAGCAAAACGAATACTTGCCATAAAAACACATCTGAGATCACTTTTTGGTACATCACCTGTATTTAAACTGTTTAAAATAACTTAAAGCTCTAGTGTTAAATATTTCTATCTTAAAGCTAATAGAAAACTATTTAGATTCAGAAAATTGAGATTGAGATTAAACAGCTCCTTTTTGTAGGAGAGATGTGGCCAAGAGACTAAGAAATATTTGCAATGTTTCTTATTTCTTTATTCTCTATATTTTTAAGTCCTGTTGACTACAACCTGTTTATCGGTGTAAAAAAAAAAAAATCTTTCTGGCAGCAGGTATTTAGATGTTTTCATTTAAACGAAGGATTAATGTAACCTATGGACCTAAATAAAAATCTACCTTCGTTAATCTTTTTCAAGTAGTCAATGGACAGAAAAGCAATTCAATAAAAGGCGCGCTGGAAAATCAAGCATTATTTTCCAAACATGTACCGGATCAAGTGTCTCACTTCTGCAACACTAGTAAGCACAAGGCAGTGTAGGACCATATTTGGTAGAAACTATTCATATTTTAAAATGATTTTAGAGCATATTTAAATATAAATGGGTAAGTTAAACTCTATTTTGCAAAACTTGTCAAAAAATATTAGAAAGCTGGTTAATTTGGGGGGAAGTGTCGATAAATAAATACATTAAAAAAATCCGCTTTGCAGGAAAAAGTGAAAATAGTTAAAAGGTGAGGAGGAGGTCTAAAACAGTGCGAATTCCACAGTTCAGCTTGAGAAAGCAGTGTTAATATGCAGAACAGCTGTCGTTTCAACATGTGAACAGTAACAGCAGTGTAGCAATGAAATGTCATGACTTTTATCCTTGGTTCAACATTTTACCAGGATATCAGTGAGTGCACAGGCCCTCAAAGCAAGCTGACAGAATTAAATGGAGAAGTGAAAAAGAACTTCCTCAGCTTAAGACTACGGATTCAGGTGAGAGATTTTTCCCAATTAATAGGCTGTGCATCGGTTGCTTGAACTTTTTTTTCTTTTAATTGTAAGCCCTTGTGGTTGTTTTGCTTCCATGTTAGGACTTTGAGCAGATGGCAATGGAGCAGGACAAAGAGTCAGACAAGCAGGCCTTGATGACTCAGGTAGAAGGCCACAGAAAACAGATGCTCAGGTAATGCCTTTAGCCCACTTTAACACTTTAAAAGTCTACTTAATAAAAGCTTATTCATTTTCTTTTTTGTATTTTTTGCAGTAACCAGACAACCTGGAGGAAAGCCAACCTGGCCAGCAAACTTACAATCGACAACATGGAAAAGCAGGCCCTTCTTAATGGAGCTGATGATTCTGTGAGACAGAGGTGAGCTGAAGATTGTCCTAATATTTAAAGACCACTAAATCTCAGCTTTGCACTTAAGCAACGTTTGCTTAAATGCAAAGAAAAAAGACTATTGGGGAGCGTGCTTTTTCTTTACGTGCCCCATTTTTGTGGCACAATCTCCCTCAAGATATTAGGCAGGCATGCTCGGTGGAGGTTTTTAAAGCTAAGTTGAAGACCCACTTGTTCACCCTATCCTACATGTCTTAATTCTATGCCATTTAGTTTTAAATTTGTTTATTGTTTTTAACTTTTATTATGTTTTTAACTTGTTATTGTATTTTTAACTTGTATTGCTGTGTATCGCTAAAAATATTATTATTATTATTATTATTATTATGTGATGCATTCTGTTTGCATGCATTCTTTTTAAATCAGGAAGATGACCAAAGAGGGTCTGGCCCAGACCACCAGCGACATCACCGAAAATCTTATGAGCATCAGCCGAATGATGGCCCAGCAAGTTCAGCAGAGCGAGGAGACCATAACGTCACTAGGTTGGTGAATGAACAGTATCCTGTTGTTTTGATATACTTGTTTAATTTTAATTGGCATTAAAG